TTTGTATTCGGGAGACGAGTCCATTTATCTACTCTGATACCGGCTGTCCTGACAGGTTTTCGTGGTTTTACTCACCCCTTCTAGGCAAATGCTAATAATATAGTACCTTAAATTACGTCACATCACCTTGCTTCCATGTCCTTCCCAATTCATTACTCAATCATTTTATCATTAGACGGCAAGCGATCTGGTCCACTGCCAGAATGGTTAAATAAACTCCAGACAAAATGTAGTTCATACAGCATCGAAAATAACCTAAGAAAATAAGTGGGGTGGAAGGTTAAATGAGTAAATGCGTCGAGATTCGAACTCTCTCCTTTTTGTTTCGCATGAAGTCACCCAGCTGCGTGTCTTTAATTTATGAAGTAGGCCTACTGTCGACTTGAAATTCAAGGCCTCTCTTTGTTTGAAGCTTGCCCAAGTGCAGATGTTCGCTTGGCCTACCAGCCCGCAGGTTCTGTCACAAGCTGTGGCCTGGCACCTGTTGTAATGGAGCTGATCGTTTACCTAGCAGGTTTGCCCACAATTATCGCACAGTGGAACGTATCTGTTCCTGGTACTGATCACTTCCTCCGCACATCTCGACGTTTTTCATTTTCCTCAGTTTAGGCCAGGGATGGATAATTATTTGTACTCGGTGTCAGATGGGTCAATTTCGAAGTTCGCGCGGGCCGTACCGTATGTTACTTAAGCGTTGTGTGTGTGTATATCATATATCAAAATGAATCTTACAGATATGGCACAAGGCCGAATAGCAGAATTTTGTGAACAGTTTATTGGAATTCTGGGCTCGTAAAAAAAAGATATGACAAACTACCATATTATAGTGCTTATTTCTATGCTGAAATATACATTTTATTGAAATTTAAACAAATTACTGTAGAGTTACGTATTATTTTGAATTTGCTCCTGCAACAGCTTGTATCTGACACAATTCTTATCAGGTTAATTTACACTTTACCGTAGGTATTTTGAAAGCGTGGTACTAGTTCGCAAAATGGCATACGAGATAATAATCGAATTTTTTTAAAATCCTTTGAAATAAAGAAAATATACGAGTTTGTTGTAACTAATAATTTCACGAGAATGGCTTCTGGTGGTCTTGTGCCGGGCGTGTCCCGCGTGCAGAAACTTTGACCACACTGGGTTAAATAATTTTCACCTACTCGAGGAAGACCCTGTCCCGTGGAGTTGGTTTCGTGGTTATTCAGTTAGTTAAATTGGAGGGGAAAACTGCGCTAGTAGTAGGCTAGACCCAGTAATTCACTCCTGCCAGAACTGTGAAAGTTCCCGAAACGAAATTCCAGTGCAGAAATTTGTTGTGACCTCTGTTCGCCCCAGCGTCGTTATACTGCCCCGCAACGCATTGCCCATCCCCCGCTCTCGTGTATTTTCTGTAACATTACAGGGTTACGTGTATGCGTTATAAAACTGCCGGTGTACTCGTGATGAATTATTCAACGCGTACCTCAAGCTGCTTTCATCACCCCGTTGGCCTGTGGGGCGATTCTCGAGTTGTGGGTGGAGGCAAACGAAACAAGCTCCCGCTTATTACGAGTTTCTGAACCGTGTCTTTACTTCCAAGAGTGAAATTTTCCGACAAAATAACATCCCCTCATCCAGGCTCCCTTGTTTGATATTTTCACGGGTTTTGACTTTTGAACTGTAAGCGTGTAGTTCCCTGTAACTTTGTCTAATTTCTGTAGTATGCATAAATCCCTCGTTTGAAGTAGCTAAGTGATTAACAACTCTGAATTCAGTTCGGCAGAAGCGACTTAGTCTGTTACGTTTTCTGATTTTATGTTCTCTTTCTAATTTGGTATTGAACATTGAATTTTAAAAATCGGTTATATTAGTGGAACATGCAATATTCAAATGACAGGGAGGGTAGGGGATATTTTATATTTTTGTGATGACAGTTCCAACATTTTTGTTAAGAAGTGAAGTTTGGTCTAATGACGATAAAAATGTAAGCAAAATTTATGTAATAGAAATTTAAAAAGTCAAAAGGACACTAAATTGGACAACATTAAAAATGCCAGTACACGAAAGGAACTAAATATTTATTCGGAAAATAGAATAATGAACAGCAACGGAGAAAAATGATTAGAACACGTTAGACTATTCAAGAAGTGAGTGAAGTAGGTTGGCCTAGTGTAAGGCTGGTGCTGAGGAAGGATTTTAGAAAGGGAAATACCGTCTGTACAGAGACTAAGAGCCTTTACGTACATTATTAAAATGTATAGAAAGGAAGGAGTAAAGGAAACAAATTACATTTAACGTCGTCCTGTTTGATGTAAAATCTTTCTTGACGAGTATAGACTAGAACTTAGTGATCGAGTGATTCCCATTTGCGTTTTTTTTGTCTTCGACGGAAACTCGAGACTATAAGTTGCATTCTTTGAATGAAGCACGTGGCTTTAAATTTCTGCCAGAAACGTCTCAAGATATTTTAATACTGGAAGAAACGCAGCTCTCTTCGTATGAGGCCTGTATCGTGCAGCATTCATAACTGGACTGCTCTGGCGATAGATGAAAGGTAGCCTTTGTGGAAACACCTGTGCAGGTCTGTCGGACTTCATTACAAAATATGTACAGTTAAATCAGATGAAATGTCGTCACGTGTCATGTGTGAGAGGTATACACTGGTTTTACTTTCAGTTGCTTGCCGTGTGTCGCGTTCGGAGTGTTGTTCTGGTGCACTGTTCGTCGCATTCCGATTTCGTATGTTAGGTCTGCAATGAGTGAAAGGTGGAAGAGACGGATACCGTCCTCATCGTCACGGTGGAGGTATTTACTTGAAGGTACAACTGTTTCTCGAGCCTCAAACGTTCTTAGTCTAGAGATGGCTGACTTCTGGGATGTTGCGCTGTGTAGTCATCGCCCTGATGATGGAGACGGTAAGCACCTATTAAATGTCGATCAGTTTCTAGTTGATTACACGTTTCCGCAAAGACAGCCTTCTTCTTACATGTCGTCGGAGAGCCTGAAATCTCGCCGTTTTTAGCCTGGCGTCCGTATTCACTTTCATTTTATATGATCCAGAGTAGTTCAGTCAGAAGTGAATTTCGATGGGCTGGACAAGCAGAATAAAATTCGTAGCGGACACAGACTTTTCGCCCTGTCGGTCACGTCTGGAACCCACTGACCCTCCCCATTCCATGGGTTCCTGGGAGTGTAGCGGCCGTTGAAATACTGCAAAATTTGTAGTTGTTTTCTAAAGGTTTGTGGCAATGGTTGATTCGCTGTGAGTTTACCGTGTTGGACATTGTGGGGCTACATTCTCTGAGACATATTTAAAACCAGGACGTTTTGGGAGTTGGCTCTACTTCCGGTTGGCTGTTGTGCTGGTATTTTAATTTTTTTGTTACTGTTATTAGTGACATCGAGATCGAACCTGATACTTTTCATTACGAGACTAGTAGGCTGCGTTAACCACTGTACCACCGTGGTTAGCGTAGTAGGCTTTATTCTGACGGTTCCGGGTTCGTCCCCGACCGTCGATACTTTTAATATCTCAAAGAAGGGACAAAAATCAACGGTTACTACATCGACAACCAACCATATGAAATATACTTTCATGTAACAATTTATAATTTTTAACAACGAATAATGTCAAAGTTTATCTTCTTGTTTTGTCCAAATATTGCATCCATTTTTGTTGTTTCTTTTCCAGATAAGGACCTGCAGATCGGCCACAGACCAGCCAATGCTGTTAAGGACGGCAAAGTGTCCCTGGTTGCCTGGGAGCCCTACTTTTGCGTACTGTTGCAGGACGAGCAGACGCTCACCGCCTACAGAAGCGAGGAGTTATCTGTGAGTCTCTTCCACTCTCGTGTAAATCGGTAGCACATTTTAAATGAGTCGGGACGTGCTGGCCACACACAATCTTTCATTCGGCGCTGCGTACCAATTAAATTTTGAGACCGTGCACACTCCGGTGAAATTTGTGTTTGGAATATGTGAACCGTGCAAGTAACAGCTCGCAAGCGTTAATGCCCTACAGAAGAGGGAGGAAACATGCCTGTTGTTTTTGTAAACATTTTTCTGGTTAATCAGAGTTTTGGAAAACCCAATTATTTTTTACCAGTTTATTTATATTGATCTATTTTGGGTTTTATCCTTGTCAAAATGCCCTGAACGCTATTTTGCTGGTTTACAGGTTAATATAGTTGCATCGCGAACCCTACGTTGTAAATCTTTAACGTGGACATATATATGATTGTATAAGGAGATTCACTTATAATGCGAATTGACAGATGGCGCTGAAACGACTCACGACACGATCTGTGTCTGGCTAATGATGTGATTACTGCAGAATTACCATTAGCCAATAGTGCATACGTCACAATGGCATGCCATTTCGTATCTTTCTTACATTTCTCTAAATACTAACTGTAGTTTAAACTGCCAGCAGAAGGTTCAGTACATAACTGCATGACTCATGTTGGGTGATGGGAGGTAATTTTAACATATATCTTTGTCATGTTTAATTTTATGTAACCAGTCTTCATGTGTAAGTACATTAGGCAGCATTACGAGGTGTAATAAAATGTTTTGGAAGTCATCTGGGAGGAATGCGAGACAAACATTTGCGTCGCTTGCAGCTTATTACTAGAAGATTCATTACTTACAACCTAGAACCCTGTTTCAAATTTTACGCGGACTAGTATTCAATTGTGATGGATTAACTTTATTCGGAGTTAATGTTCTCAAGGTATCCCGCACTTTTGCTCTTTTCTTCACTTCAAATGAACTTTGCGTTTGAAAACACGCTGTCGACCTGACAGGTAGGATGATGGTAAACTTCATTGTGGGTCTAAAAGGGAAATTAATTTAAAAAATTAAGTATTTATGTGCATACACGTAATAGGAAATTTTGTGCATTATATAGAACAGATTGGAGCGTGTTATTTCCATAATATATCACTGATTGGTGTTTGTTCCGAACATAGGAGCAATTTAAATGTGCTAAAATAAATCAATTCATATGAATATGCCTGAAGGTTATTTTGGGTGCATTAGTAAATTGCAGGCCCGATATAACCTGAATTTAGAGACGTAATAAATGGGAAGGTGTACCAATATTGTAACATAAAATCTAAATGTAACACACCTCAAAAATAATTCCAGAAGCTGAAGATGGCTGTCTTGTGGGGTGTTGCGCCGTGTAGTCTCGTATAAATTAGCCGACGTTTCGGAGGCACGTACTCTGAGTCATCAGGAAGCTGTCCGATGCCTGATCTGATTTAAATTATTTGTCGTTAGGTTTTATCCTTTAATCTGTGATTGTGATAAGTGTGTTGATGAATGTATTTTACACTTTTAATTTGTTATGCGTTTAGAAAGTGTTCTGCTAATTTGTGGGGCTCATTTGAGTCTGCCATAGAGTTGTGTGTTTATTTTCTACCCCTCCCCCTCCCCATAACCTCCAATGGTTCAGACCAATGATAGTGTTATTGGAAGAAGGGATTATTTTTAATTTTAAGATGGAAGATTTTACATTTTGTCGTATTCTGTTATATTAACATTTCTAAACATTTCATATCATATTTGTGTCACCTTAATGACAATGTTCAGTTTCTAAGATTTGAGGTTTTCACAGCGGTGAGTATGAAGACAGAAATCTTCAGTGTTCAGTTTATTTTTGGGAATTTTAGTATTTCTTTCCTCACTTATTTTAGTTGGCACATGCATGTTATTATTTTTCAAATTTATCTTTGTATTAACTGTCGTAGCTACTAACATCTTATTCTCTTGTCTTTTTTCCTTCGATATTTGCAGATTTTCCCTGGAACCCCGGGTCGGCCTCGCTCTCGGATGAAGGTGGGTTGGGTTGTACTTTGGTGTTGGTTTGTACATTTGCGTGTAAGTTTGCATGCATGTTTAATAGTACATTTGTCTTATGTTACTAACAGCTTCGTGATAACTATGTGTTGTTGCAGTCTTGGAAAGGTAATGCAAGCTAGCCCTGTGTTTATCAGGCGTTAATTCCTACAGATGTTTCCGCTTTTAAAATGGAGTATGAAACACGCACGATAACATTATTGCAACGTTTATTGCTTGCAAGGAAGATTGAAGTTATTTCGTAATTAATTTATTTGATATTTACAAATGAAGGAAAAATTAAAATATAATTAAAGCGTAGATGTTCTGGATAATTCTAAATTTAAATAGTTTATTGGAATGACTGAACATTGACAACGTTTTGGTTATACCTATTTAACAGTAGGTTGTTCTGCTATTACGTTTCAAGAAGGCGACATTGCAACACGAAAATGTGTAGAAGTTTCAAACTCGTATTGTTGGATTAAAAATCGGCGTTGGGAACATTATCCTAAGTACAAATGGGTATAATTTTGCTGTGAAACTCATTAAACTCATATGAGAACGTTATTCGAATTATATTATGGGAACAAATCCGATATTAAAAATTAAATTAAACAAATGTTGCCTGTGTCTGAAAAAATTGCATCACTTTTCTCTTGTACCAGATAACCCAGTGGTCTGTTTTGCGAACAGCTGCAAAGGCGAAATCGGCCAAGTTGACGACGTTTTAATCGTAATCACTCTTGTGTATAGGATTTGAAATTCTCACAGCGGTGAGTATGAATATTTCTGTCTTCTGGGTTGTAGCGCCGTGCAGTCTAGTAGAAGTTTACCAACGTTTCAGAGGTCCTGGCTGCCTCCATCGCCTTGTATGTGGTTTAGCTTTATAATTCAGATATTTATTATTACGTTAGATCCTACCTGCTAATACAGTATAAAAAAAGTTGTGCTGTAAACTTTTATTTTTTCTAAGAACCTTTGTTTCGATCTCAGCGTCATGAACATGACTTGAAAGGCCTTGTTAAATCTTTCTAGTGAAACTAAGTAGATATTCTTTGGACATGCCAAAGAACTTGAGCTAAGCGATGTATCATTTGTGGCTATGGTGACTGTTACATACCACAGTGTCGCTTAAAAATAAGGTGACAGATGTGTGTCATGGCCGGCTGTGGTTATTGGCAGTTAATTTCACAGACGTACTAAAAAAATGTAAAATAATATATTTAGTTTTCTCATAGTTTCACGTTGAAAATTAACAAAAGCCTGATTTAAAGTTAAACAACGTTTATGACGTGCTAGGTAGATATGTGGACAGTTTTATTTCCACCCTTACTGAATTGATACGGTAAGTTAGTTTTTATACCCAGTTGGAATCGGTCACGACGCCTGATAGGCGTACCAGGATGTAGGTCTAATTATTGCAATGAGAAGATGTTTTGATTCATGCATAACGGCAGATTTTGCTGTAACGCCTTTTTAAAATTCGTCCTATAAACTAACGTAACTTGTCGTCCTAAGGCCCACCCAAGGATTCTGGTTCTGTCTTACAGTAAAACCATTACTTAAATCTAGTATGAGCTGTTGCAGCCGACATTTTCAGTCTTTTGGTGTGGTTAAATATTGTTCGGACTGCTTCAGGTACTCGGTTCATTTTGTACATTCATATATGATATGGTGTAAGTGTGGTATTAAAAGATCTGACTGAGAGTCACGAGATTTTGCATCAAACGCAGATCGTGTTCACATATTTGCCACGACGTCGCAGCGACTGTTCATATATTGGTTTTTCGTACATTGAACCCACACCGTGATTACAGGTCTTTCTATTTCCTATACTAATGTTTCACGCATGGAGCTTGAAGAAACCTGACAGAAATACAAGAAAGAGCTGAGAGAAACTCGTCCGAGGGCGATTACCAAGAATAGGGTTGTATAAATGCGGTGTCACCATTGTAAACCAGAGTTAATGAAATCCAGCGTGCAATTAAAATGTTTTTAGTTTATTTTCCTCTGCTTTATCAATTCCACTGGTAAAAAGTGGCGATTTCTTGAGTAAAACGACTGGCTATGCAGCAGGAAGGTCGGAGTTTGACAGCTGGTGGAGACATAGACGGTTTTGGACGCAGCTACGTCCAGATCCTATCCAGTGGGTATCGAGGGTTCGCTCCCGGAAGGTAAAGGAGTCTGATGAGAAGATGTGAGCAAGGAACGAGGCTGTCGCGCGCCCACTATCGTACTATGGCGGTCATGAATCTGGAAATTATTTAACTTTCAACAAAACATCTCTGTTCAGTTAGAGGGACTATACAACTTCAAATGAGAACGTTATAGGGATTTGGAAGGAGGTTGCCTTGGCATGTTTTAGAGCGGTATCTCCAGATTCTTCTGCCGAGGTCGAGGATAGCACGAAAACGTTCTGACAGAACCTTTTCGATATTCGAACCGCGTTCTTCTCGAAAGTCTACGAGCTACTGCGCCGTCATATGCCGTACGGGGTCATTGCCCTGTGCCCGCGTGGTGTATCGACCTCGGACGTGTTATCATCGTAATGATTGCGCAGCCTGAACCTGTTGCGGCAGCAAGTAGGTCACTGAGTCTCCAGGGTAACGGTGCTCCACACCCGGGGTGATGTGATGTGACAACTTCGCCGTTCCCCACAGATGACCCAACAAAACGCTTTTTAAACAGAGTTAATTGCTGTCTTTTCTTTCTGTCGTGGGACGAGTTCAAGTCTCCTCCGACCTCGTACACACATTTGGTGTTCCCTGTCTATTCCGTCTGGTTTATACCAAAATGAAATATTCAAAAATCCGATATTGGCCAGTTTGTAATAGTATAAAACCTATAATCCTTCAGAACCCCAAAAATTTATACAGAAAATTACGAGAACTGTTAATAGTAATTACCAGTCTCATTCGTTGTTAATTGCGCCACTAAAGTCATTCGCTGTTGAAACATTCTGACCATGTGGTCTAGTTTAATTCTATGCCACTATGGCATTCCACATAGTCCGCCAGAGAAGGAACATCCTGAGACTGAAGAGGTACCAGTCTGGTAGCTAGATAAGATTCCTTCTTATTGTCTATCCCACTTCATATGAAATAGCTGATTAGGCAGTCGTGCTGTATATTCGCATTTCTGTGCACGTAATGTAGGCTAGGGGATGAGTCACGTCGAATGTTGAGTGTTGTCCGGCAAGCATTGCAGCTGCAAATACGTATTCGTCCTGAAGATGGCAACTGCAGTATTTGCCGACACGGTGGATAAACTTCAGCATTCGACAAGTCTCATCGTCGAAAGTTTAAGCCGCTCATTGAACTCCAGCCGCAATTGTTTCCATTTAGCTTCTTGTAACACTTCAGTTCCGGGAAGATGCAAACACATCTGTTTTCATTTATGTGTTCCCGTCTGCATAGAGAGGTCATAGAAAAACTTAACGAATTAAGAAGAGTGGAAAACTGTGTCCCAATTTGTTTTACGGCGCACTTATAAACACTTTATTATGATGTTTGTGTCGCGCATTGGTCGTGAGTCTTTGTTTCTTGCAGACGCAAGTCCGTTGTCAATGAAACTAATCAATTGTAGAAGCATGGATTATTTGCCGTTCTTGGTTCTTTATATGCTTTTACATTATATGCAATATCGAAAAACATTTCGTATGAAAGTTACATATCTTGATAGGGTATTATTAGGTGGAGAACACGGTGTTCTGCGTCTATTATTAAAATGTTTTGAGGCTATGAAGTGAGGGAATTAATTATTGAGTAGAAAATAGCTTATTGTTAAAGAAATGGTAGCTTATAAGGTAATAACACTTTCTGCTTATGCAGTGGAATCAAGGTGTATAGGAAAATGTTTTTGTAAAGTTGCATATAAGTGGGGGGGGAGTATAATTAGTAAGAAATAAATGGAAATGCGGAAGGGAATTGTGTATTTCTTGTTTCAAGATAAAGTCTGAGGTAAGAGATAGGCCCCGTTAGAGATAGCTATGTAAGAGCTGTGGACGGAAGAACCAAATGTTAGGCCGACACCATCTTCTGTACGGGGAACTGGGTTCAATAAATGATTGATTAGATATTGTATATTTCATGTCGTTACTTTTTTGTGCAATGAATTGTTTATATTTTTCATAAAACAGTTCACTTCTATCCGAAGTAGGAGTTGCAGTGGACCTGTATGAACCATAATTAAATGTGTTAAACGAATTGTAATGTAGGTGACGGAATAAATTTTATTGAAACCCTTCAAGTGGTTCTGGAGACGTAAGGTACAGACCAGAAGACACGGTATGCGCTTTATGCGTTAACTTTCTTGTGCAGAGAAACAAAGGAAAAATGCAAAATGTCGTAAGGGAATTACAACTTTTAGTGCCTTCAGGTACTGTGTAGTTTTGTTGCGTTGTTTTAAAAGTCTCGTGTTCTGAAAGTTGTTTGAAGTTTGTAGCTAGACTTACCGCATTGTTAATCAGATCTCTGGGTTTCAGAGGCCCGTTACCTCATCGTTCGATCGTTGGGAGTAGGAAAAGGCGATGAAACGAAGTTCTGGGAACAAATTGCTAAACCTACTATCGGCAAGACGTGGGTAATTTGTTTTTCGCTAGTGGGAGTTTCGTTCTTGAGCTGCCGGGGCTAGATAGACGAAAGAGATGAAAGTTTTGGAGTTCGAGGTCACGTTTATCGACAAGGCCATTTGTACTTGTTTGTGAACAAAGGAAGAACGTATTGTTCCTCGGTTTATTTATGGCGTAGCGTCGAAATTTACTTGTCTGTAAAGATTGTACTTATCGAAATATACGAATACGGACTCTCCCCTGGTTACACAGGGCTCCACTTGCAAATCCGATTTTACATAAAAATAATTTGTAACTAATAAATAAAATTAATTTCTACGTGTAAACTACAACTAAATTATTTTAGGTACATTTTACTAACAGTAAAATATTATTAAAGTGTATAATGAACATATAGTAATTTCCGACGTGTATAAAGTTTGACCGTAAGGGTTTACGGAGCCAAATCCTTACGCAAGTTGGGGACTACAGAGCGGTCGCCAAGTTTCGAACTTCGAACTTTAGTATCATAAATCCCTCCCGTGAGACCTCGGCAGTAAAAATAAACAAGTGTTCGCTGTGCTGTTCATTATCTGCTAACGTGTTGTACATGTAATACAAATTACCACCCGGTTGTCTCATGAAAAATTCATCGGGCGGAATTTATTAGGAGAGAATGTATTATGTAACGCAGAGAGACGCATCCATTATAAGACATTAATAGTCCTGTGATTTTCTTCTCTTCATCTGCTACGGCGCCAGGGATGACACGTCACACCCCGTCAACCGCATGTTCTGTGTTAACGTCCCCAAGTTCTGATTCCATTTGTTTATTTTCGTTTAAGGGCGATGCGTCTTTCTCCTGGGGGTAAATTGTACACATAATTTTATTTCATGAATTGGATTCTGGAGAATGTTTTGTTTCTGGCGCAGTTTTAACGACTGGAATGGTTATTTTATACTGGTTACAAGGAAGGGGTGCACGTGAACGTGGGAGAAAACAAAGAACCACATTCGAACTTGGTAGGCTTGCGTTCGAAGTTAAGTTGCGACTGAACTAATATTGCGCGCTTTGAATAACAGGACGCAACTCAAAAAAGTACAACTTCAGAGAGGCGCATTTGGAATGTTTGTGCTATTTGTGTGCTAGCAGAGTGCCTGCAGCGTTGGAGCTGAGAAATTCGACAGATGCTTCCATTTCTTGTCAATCCCGCATTGCCCCGAAATTTCATCTTAGGCCTGATCATTCGGTACGCATCGTTCAATATTACAGGAAACGGATTATCCTTGAACCCAACATTTCACCGGGACTCGAGCCCGGGACAGTTTTTCGGGATGTGGCCTTTTGATCTCGTTATCTTCGCTCTGAAACAAAGAACTTCGTTCTTCGCCCTGTTCTGTTATGTTTATTCCCAGCTGCATGAACCGCGCTCGTAGAGAATCGAAATCAGGACATGTTTTCAGGAGTTTTGACCTTCCTTTGCTCTCCTCCTGGTCTCAGAGAATAAGCATGCCGAGTTTGATGCAAATCGGTTTATTGCTTCTCGAGCTGTAAGTGAACATGGCCGAGTTGAGTTTTTGAATGGTCCGCCGGCTGTATTTACAAACTCGCATTTTTGTCTCATGTTTCAGAAGCAGTTACGTTGTATCACATTTCAAAATGTGTGTGTATGTGTGAGACACACACACACGGCAGTGACGTCATTAAATTGTCGCACTAGAAATACGTAACGAAACGTCTTGCGAATATTTTTCGTGTGTCTTCAGAGTTCGGTTAAGAACAATTTGTGAAGCATAGCGTATGCAGTGCCTTTCTTGGATGGAGCGAGGTCTGGCATTTGCCTTTGTAAAGTGCGCGCCTGACTGGTTCCGATTAGACTATGTGCTGAACACACTTGCCTGAGAGGTTGCCTGGTGATACGGCGTTCCTCTGTCTCTCGGCGTCTTCTTTGTGAACGAAATAAAATATTGTACGTTCCACACGAATGTGCTGCTGTTACAGTAAAGGAATAAATGCTAGAGTATGTTCACCCTAAAGCCACGTATTTTCTTTTTGATCGGAATATTTCTAAAGTTTCGAAATATGCAAACATGGAATGTCAGTTTCCGTGGTAAGTTCGCATATATTTAAAATGCGTTCTTTTCGATTTAACATAGCTGATTGGACTTTAATTTGCTGTTGATACAGATGCAATTTCAGATGCAGGCCCAGTGTTGTAAACCTAATCATGGTATCGTTCTTAGTGTCAGTCTGTCTGTTTTTTGTATTCCGTTAAAATTGGCTAAATTAAAACTTGTATCAAGTGGATATTGTATATCTCAGTGTGGTCTGTATATGTACCAGTTTTCAGTAGCAGTCAGGCTGGAAGGATTAAGGTGATGATCCCGCCTGTGTCGCTGTCGAAGTAAATGACGCATGTATCAAATCGTTTTTCGTGGGTGAACACTTGCGTCAGTCATATTACAATTCACTGATATGCACGTGTGTTATGTATTCACTCCGCATGAACGAAATTAATTACATTTTTATGCTAGAAATTCATTTTAAGTGTGTAAAATAATGTTTCAGTAGTCAGCATTCATTTTTGACGCTCTGTAAGTCCCGGGTTCGAATATCTGTCGGAAAACCCTACAGCCAAACTATCCACCTTGCGTCATTTGTATAAAGTTATTAATTAATTTCCTGTTGTTAGATATTATTATGAGTAGGAACAGTAGAAATAGTGATCAATAGCGTTATTGATATTGTTCTTTTGTGTCGAAACGTCATATGAATCATGAACTGAAAAAGGGTCTTTCTCCTTATGAGCTTCTGATGTAAGTTTATTTATTATACGGGACGGAAAATATCTGCGTGCCTCAGCTACGTCTCAGAGGGGAAGGGGAGATGGAAAGGGCAAGGGGACTTATGCGTCATTGTTTCCCCTCTCTTCCGGTATCTCGACTGGCTGATCACGAAACTCGGAGATATGTTTGCGACAAGTAAAGTTAAATTCCTCTTATTAGGTATTATTATCAGTAGTAGCAGTAGTATTTTGTTGTTATTAGTGTTGTAGTTATTGATGTTTTGTTTGAAAACGTCGTCTGAGCCATGATTGGAAGGTGGATCTCTTTTTCCTCAGGAGCACTTTAACAATTCAGTTGTCAGACGCGTTTTCTTCCACACTGGGATGACATTATACTTTTGTTCGTTACACCGATTGCTGTTAATCTGAATCTGACTGCCATCTCTCTCATAGATCGGAGACGCGTTGTTCGTGGATTTGCCACGAGTTCGCCTTGATGGAGGCGCGAAAGCTTTCCGTCAGCGCTGGGGTTACGAACTCAGTCCACCCCCGCCGCTGCTGGAGGAAGAAGAAGGCGAGGATTGCGAGGCGGAAGGGGAGGGGGAACCAGCTGAAACAGCGTCGCTGAGAGAAGAAGGCACTTCGCATACCGTGTCACCTCTAGGTGAGTACTGATGTAATGCGTTTGGCAACAAGATTTACCCTTTAAAGTATAGTGGCTGCTTTATCAATCGATTCTGCATTTCATCTTCATGATTACGTAAATGTTTCGAAACAGGCATTTGGATAGAGGGGCTGAGGTAACCACATGAAAACTGAAGTCGGGATATGCTGTAATCTACATTCCGAATACAAATGAGTAGCTTAACCGCAACACGAACATCATTGCCAAGTAAACGTGATGTGGAATGGGTTTACAGCAGCTATGTATAATTCATCTTAAGTCACAGGTGTTAGGTATAAATGGAAGGGGGATATTATTGTGGGACACCGGTAAGTGTGTTTGGTATGTAGTGCTGATTTTAGTTTTGGCCTGTAGTTAGTAAAACACGATCAGATTGCTTTGTATACTTCCATACCAGGCGAAAATCTCGAGTGTCGTTAATAGTACATCAACGTCAGATGCCACTAGTATACATAGGAGGTGGAGCGATCCAGTCATCGTAACCGGCAAGATTTCTTCCGCTAGGTGGCGCTAGAGACGACGTAGTTCTTAATTTGCAACCTAGATGGCGAAGCGGGCTTCTGTCTTTTGACCTGCCAGACCGTACAATTTCTGACCCGGCTGTAAAGATGTCGCAGTTAGCCGTCTGGGTTGTGAGGCCATGTAAAGTTGTCTTTTTTGGTTTCCACTGTCCGTTTTATCGTTATTAATTTATTTATTTGTTGTTTTGTAACATCCAGTGTTTTGAAGTATTGTCAGTTCCGTTTACATTGAGTAAGAGCAAACATGACGTTTTTCGGTCTGTTAATAGTAGTACAGCACTGGAATTGCCAGGCTGCATAAGTCACAGGGACTTAAATTTGGCGTACTCAGGTTTCGATGTTGGTATGGTTAGGTTGTAATAGAGAGAGCCATGTATTTTTGCCACCGTTGCCATGGAAACTGGAAGCGAGAGTGTGTTGCCTTTTCCTATCTTTTAAAGTCCAGCTTAATTGTTCCTCGTTTAGAGCATTTAACCCTGAGTGACCTCCGCTCTGTTACAATGATGTAGCTTGGAGGAGATGAATATGATGGAGTGATAGGACAAAGCAGAGGTTTATCAAGAGTAACTGTAGCAGATAATTATAATAGTTTGATGCAGTTCGCCGTTAAAATATCCGCAGAGTTTTAATGCGTAGTTATATGGAAGATTATTTTAAATATATCTAACAATAAAAAGGGAGTCAGCGTGGGTTAGTTTTCATTACAGATTGTTCTAAATATTACTTATTGCGATATCCAGAAGATTGCTCTAAGTCTGCCATTTTGAAAACTTTAAATACCGTGGAATCATTAATATTTAGTGTGGAATTTCTGTTTAGATACTAAAAATAACAAAGGTGAACTGAAAGTGTGAGAATCACGTATTATATTCAAGATAGAGCGGTAATAAAGAACTCTTACACTTTTAGTTCTCGTCTGGTTAGGTACAATGAAAATTGTGATGTGTCGAAAGAAAATGTAGGATTTTTTTTTTTTGATTTTGTCTGTTCACATCGAATGGTGTCACTGACAGAGAAAGTTTTATGATGCTAGACTTAGAATGTAAACATTTTATGTAAATCTAGTAATTCCTCCGTCAGTGAAATCTTGCACTTCCTTCGTCTTCAACCCACTAGAATATACACCGACCTGACAAGTGTTAGGCGAAAGTTTCAGAAAACTGCATAATAATGGTATTTCTTCAAAAGTGTTTAGTTGCTCTGGTGTTCAAAAATTCCTTGCTTTCTCAGACCCCTAGTTTCAGTACTGTGTTCACAAGAACCTATTCTGAAATCGCTCACACCTGTATTTCGTTTACTTCAAAGGCATTGAACATCCGCCCTGTTTTTAGTTATGAGTAGGTGATAAAAACGGAGAGAGACGGAAAGTAGAGTGGGTAAGAGGTAGACAGGATAAAGGGGAAAGAAAGAAAGAAAGGCAAAAGGGAAATTAAAGAAGGAAAGAGGTTGTTGTTTTACGATGGGTTGGGTTGTCCTGGAGACTTTCTATCGTGTTCATTGGGTGGTCGAGGCTATGTCCTGGAGAAATGCTCTAGAATCCTGTAGAATTCCAGGAAAATTCCTGTCGTCAGTATTTCCTGGGAATGTCCTAGGCTAGTATCTGAGAAGTCCTGGAGACGTTATGTGGAAATTGTTTTGCCATGCGGAATTGCTGGAGAAATCGTGGAGAAGTCCTGGAAGGTTATTTGGAAGTCCATAAGCGGTTGTGGGTTTGATCCTATGAAGGTCGGTCATTTTGGATTCGTGTAAGTTTGATTGGGATAAGTTACATTGGATTAGGTTGCATTTTGTGTTACTTTGGGTTAGGTTAGGTTTGGTTAAGTCCAGTAAGTGAAGTACATACGCGTATCTGTGCAGTGAGCACACGATGGCTGTATCGGCGAAAACTACTGCAATTCAACAGCAGTAGAGTGAGGAGTGAAGATGTAATTAGTGATGTCTATGTAAAGATTTGCACGCAGTCTCTGCCTTGGCCCCGATCTTTCTCAAGCGTACTGATTTTCACACTTGTGAGGTTTACAGTTACGGGTGTTTTATTTGTCACGTCCTAGAGGCATGTCTGTGGGGGATATTTGTGTTCAACAGTGAGATCCTGGCATCGTGTGTCCCACTTCAGTCGACTTGGCATTTGTTTATGTCGAAAACGTTCATAACAGCTTTCTCAAACAGAGCTCACCTTCTCCTTATTTAGCAGTGAATTGGAATTTCCCTGCTTAATAGTTAGGGATATTTGGTTAGCATTTGGCCAATAAACTTGCAAGCGATTTTTTAAATGTTTCTACGCGTTTGAAGGCAATTGTTTCTCGCCCAGTTTTTGCTTGGCTTGTCTCAGGAAGATTTGTAATTTATTTCGTTATTGTCCTACTACGTCTATCACAACGAAAGGCTCATCCTGCTTCAGTGACTGTATTGATCGCATCGAAAATTGCAGGCCAGGATATTTGGTTTCAGATAGTTCAGTCTTACAGGTGACATGCCCTTATGTACGTTTTCAATAAACGATGCATTTATAGGCGTATTGGGGTTTCCGTAACTAAGATTCTTTCAACACAATCCCTACTTTCCTATGCATCCATTTATACCCCTATGACATACACGATACGCAATGCACTTGGTCCTCGAGTTGTTCTTCATAAATATTAACAGCCTCCGGGAAGTTACTCCTAGACCGTGCAGCTTCGTTAAGGCAATGACGGAAATTAGGTTCTTGTTGTTTTCGTGAAGAAACCACAGCGCGGGCGACAAGCTTGGTGTCGCCGGGCTGATTCCTGGCTAGAGTAATCTGCAACAGGTTTCGTGAATATACGGGAAAAGTTATGAAAAGGAAAAGGATCCTGTAGGGGTTGGGATGTTCATCCCGCGTGATAAGGCAGCTCCCTTTATATTTTTACTGACGACAGTCGGAATTCTGTTGTAAAAATTTTTCTTTATTGTTTATTCGGACAAGCGATAGATCTTTGATGAAGGACCCGTATGTCACAAGACTTCTGGCACAAAAATCACCTTTTCAGTACACCATTTACAGTAAATAATCTACGCAGTTGAAAAAGCGTTGTTAAATAAACCAAGACTCAGTCACGAGCGGGATTAAGATACCCGCGATCCAGTGATCGAGAGGTTTAAAACCTCGCAGACACTGGAATCGACAGATCTCGTAGCTTCGATTTAGGTGAGTTGAAACGTAGTCTGTATTTGTGAGTAGTCCTGTGGAACTACAGTACCGACGCCATGTTTGTTGGACCCCCTGGTGGTGATCGCTATCAGTGGGGGCAGTTGCCCTTTCTGTCAATAAAACACTCTATCTTGGAGATATGATGAACATAGTTATGTGTGCGTTCCTTATATGAACTCACTTTCTTCATATCTGGACCGCGGATGCTGCTTAATGTACCGTCTGACCCTATTTAATAAAGTGTCCTTTACGTGTGCTTTTGAATACAGCCACTGTGCGATGTCGCGACACTAAATTTCTGACTTCCACCAGCCCGGGGCTGCAATTTTTACTGCGGGCGAGATCCATAACGTCTGCTCTAAGTTACAAGCCTTAACTAACCAACATAAATAACTTGAAGCTTAGACATTATTGGTAAGAAGACTGATTGGAAAGAAAGGCAAGTATGGGACACAAAGCGATAAGGAAGATAGAAGTATAAGAAAAATTACTCAAACTAAAATAAATTAAACTAACGGAAGTACCTTTACACTGAAACCAGGGAATTTTTGGGTTCAAGATGAGGCCATTTTATTGAGCTTACAGAGAAACAAAAGTGGTCACGTTCACAAAGTTGATCCTTACAAAATATCCGCTCAGAAAAGTATCTTGAAATTCAAGTTTGAGTTTGTGGAAATTACATTTTTCGTATGATTTGAGGTTTTCACAGCTGTGAGTGTGAAGATTTCTATCTTCTGGGTTGTTGCGCTGTGTAGTCTGGTCGATGTTAACCAACGTTTCAGCGGTCATACTGCCTCCGTCATCAGGGCGATGAAGATTTCTGTCGTCTGGGTTGTTGCGCTGTGTAGTCTGGTCGATGTTAACCAACGTTTCAGCGGTCATACTGCCTCCGTCATCAGGGCGATACACAGCGCAACCCAGAAGGCAGAAATCTTCATTACATTTTTCATTTCCGCGTTTTTATGTTACATGGCTATTTCGAGCGTAACCATGGCGTATGTCCTACTACATGCCTATAAAACTTAGGATTTTTATATCGTGATACTTTGTTTCACCACAGAAATACATAATAAACACGAATGGAGGTGTTCGTGTTTGGTACCATAACATGGTGATGACTGTCGTCTGGGTTGTTGCGCCACGTAGTTTGGTAGAAGTTTACAGACGTTTCCGGAGTGATGATTGTCCTGATTGTGGAGGCAGCAGGAACCTCTGAAACGACGGTAAACTTCTACCAGATTACACGGCACAACAATCCAGAATCCGTGAGAACCTGGATGGTCGCC